TAGTTTGGTGCACTATTCACCTAAAATCGAAAAAATATGTATGGGAGCTGTATCTAAATCTGAACCGATTTGAAAGAAACTTGCCAGAGATTAATTAATTAGGTACGTTTTGCAACATGTGATGTTAATCGGCCTAGATTTGAGTTTATATGTCAGAGCTTATATTTAAGTTTGAACCGATTTTCACAAATTTCAATAGGGTTCGTCCTTGGGACGAACCTAGAACCGGCCTAGATTTGAGTATATATATCAGAGCTTATATTTAAGTCTGAACCGATTTTCACAAATTTCAATAGGATTCGTCCTTGGGACAAATAAGTGAGCTATAGAGGAGAGGGGCACCTTTCAACGTGGGCAACTTTGAACAGTGCTCATGAAATCTCGGTTTAAAATTTTACCGAACCGCAAACACTTTTTTGTATATGACAATCTTGTTCTCTATCTGCGTAAACCACTTTGGCTAGCTTTTTCAGCTGTCGACAAATCGTACATGGGGGACCATGTATTCGAATTGCCATTGTAAACTTTTATTCTTTTGGTTGTAATTGCGTGATAGTTTACCTTCGTTAAACATTTTTTGGCATTCCAACAACCATTTCAAACATAACTAATGTATTTTCTTTCATATATCGACGCCTCCGAACCATAGTATGCTAAGTCGACTTAGCATGTTTTAAAGTTCTTTACGTTTTTAGATACTACGGTCCTTAATTTATATTCTCTGAAATTTTGGTGATCATCGGCCAAACCAAACCATAGTTATAAGCAAAAATGTACTTAGCATGGCCCGTAAGATATATGAAACTTCCATACTTTGAGAGCTTCTACAGAAGCCTCTACTGGTTCGGAGGCGTCGATATGTTTCCTACAAAAAAAGTTATTATAAATTTCCGTAAAATGCCACAGGTGGGGCACCTTTGAACATGCCCAGTAAACTCCAGTAAAAAACGAAGTATTTAACTTTTGGCTTCGATTTCTCAAAATTTCAAATGGGCTAATACGATTACGAAACTAACGGTGTTTTTGCCCCCTCTCCTCTACCAAATTTCCTCCAAATCGGATTACAAATGCAACCAGTACTTTGATTACAATTTAACATCAACAGACGGACAAAGAAAGAAGAAAGAGATTTTATGCATCTTCTCAAAAGGAACCATGGGTCTGACTCGTTTCCTTTTGCCAGTACAAACATATGCACAAAGACATAATACCCTGTACCATAGTGTGGTGAAGGGTATAAAAGGCGGGTATTTTTATAAACATTTTCTTTTATAAACATAGACCCAAACATCACGAAACACACTTGGACTCATATAGCGTAACCTCGTCCAAATACTCTGCCAAGAACTTACTATTTTTAAGGACCTTTAAGGGAACCCCACCCATTCTCGATTTTAATTTTTCAAGATTTTCAATGGGCTGGTAAATCAATACCAATGTTTTTTAAGGTTTGTAACTTTGCACATATATATTTGAAGATTTAAAAGAGAGGAATAATAATTTACAAAAAAATTTTGTTATTGCTTTGTTGTTGTTTTTTGTAATTAAAGAAAAGTCCTTATTTTCGATGGCGGGCATGATAACTCCTCACTGGAACATCGGAATTCGAAAATTCCAACGGTGTTAGAAAGAGTATATGTCTGGCTCTCGTATGAACTAGGATTATTATATTCGCTCTAAAATTAACAAAATGGTGGACCTTTGAAAAAATATTTTTTGAAAATCGCCGATTTTTTACCAAAACCCAAGTCAAAAAATAAGGAAGATCTTCACCGATTGGCTTTATCCTAGTTCATACGATAGCTACACACTCACAGAGAAACGTGTAAAAATTTCGAATCGATTGGGTTATTAGTTTTTGAGTTATCGTGCCCGCCATTCGCAAAAAAATGTTTAGAGAAAAACGCGTTTATAGTTTGAGAAGTCCTTCAGCCGTCACTTGATGCTAACACAATAAATCGGCTATATCTTCAAGACTTCTTGAGATTTTCATTTGAAATTTTGTAGGGACATTCTTTAATTAGTGTAGATTCGAATTATATCAACAAAATTTTTGACCCCGAGAATGGGGGGGTCCCCTCAAGGGAATTTCTTTAATGATTACTAGATTCATCATAGTTGATTTTTTAAAGTCTACCAAAAATCAGCTGATTTTTTTTTCTGATCTATTTCCCGATGTTAGCCCCCAAAATTTTGCTTCAAATTAGCCCCAAAATTTTGATTCAAAATTCTGGTAAATAAGTTTTTAAGTCTGCTTGTAAAACTGTAACGTCACATGAATGAATTAAAACAAGTGAAAAAGTGATTACAACTGACGAATGGACGGATATGGCTAGATCGTCTTAGAATTTTACCCTGATCAAAAATATATATATTTTAGAGGGTCGGAAATGAACATTTCAATGAGTTACCCTCCATACTATGGTGGAGGGTATAAAAAATCCCAAAGAATTGCACAAATTTCACAAAACTACCAGGGGCCCAGAATATTTTAGCCAACAAATTTTTTTCTAAGACCCAACAAGGCGTGGATTTTTTTCTAAGACCCAACAAGGCGTGGATTTTTTAAAGAATATTTTTTTCTAAGACCCAACAAGGCGTGGATTTTTTAAAGAATATTTTTTTCTAAGACCCAACAAGGCGTGGATTTTTTAAAGAATATTTTTTTCTAAGACCCAACAAGGCGTGGATTTTTTAAAGAATATTTTTTTCTAAGACCCAACAAGGCGTGGATTTTTTAAAGAATATTTTTTTCTAAGACCCAACAAGGCGTGGATTTTTTAAAGAATATTTTTTTCTAAGACCCAACAAGGCGTGGATTTTTTAAAGAATATTTTTTTCTAAGACCCAACAAGGCGTGGATTTTTTAAAGAATATTTTTTTCTAAGACCCAACAAGGCGTGGATTTTTTAAAGAATATTTTTTTCTAAGACCCAACAAGGCGTGGATTTTTTAAAGAATATTTTTTTCTAAGACCCAACAAGGCGTGGATTTTTTAAAGAATATTTTTTTCTAAGACCCAACAAGGCGTGGATTTTTTAAAGAATATTTTTTTTCTAAGACCCAACAAGGCGTGGATTTTTTAAAGAATATTTTTTTCTAAGACCCAACAAGGCGTGGATTTTTTAAAGAATATTTTTTTCTAAGACCCAACAAGGCGTGGATTTTTTAAAGAATATTTTTTTCTAAGACCCAACAAGGCGTGGATTTTTTAAAGAATATTTTTTTTTTCTAAGACCCAACAAGGCGTGGATTTTTTAAAGAATATTTTTTTCTAAGACCCAACAAGGCGTGGATTTTTTAAAGAATATTTTTTTCTAAGACCCAACAAGGCGTGGATTTTTTAAAGAATATTTTTTTCTAAGACCCAACAAGGCGTGGATTTTTTAAAGAATATTTTTTTCTAAGACCCAACAAGGCGTGGATTTTTTAAAGAATATTTTTTCTAACAACAAGGCGTTTTTTTAAGAATATTTTTTCTAAGACCCAACAAGGCGTGGAAGAAAAGAATATTTTTTTAAGACCCAACAAGGCGTGGAGTTTTTAAAGAATATTTTTTTCTAAGACCCAACAAGGCGAAGAAAAGAATATTTTTTTCTAACAAGGGAGCAGAATATTTTTTCTAACAAGGAAGAATAAGAATATTTTTTTCAAACAAGGAAGAAGAAGAATATTTTTTTCTAACAAGGGAGCAGAATATTTTTTCTAACAAGAGGAATATTTTTTTCTAACAAGGATGAAGAATATTTTTTCTAGGGCCCAACAAGGCATGGATTTTTTAAACAATATTTTTTCTAAGACCCATAATTAATTCCAAGTTCCACTAACCCGCTTATCAGGTAATTGGAGATTATGTTACAATGTTCCAATACACAGCTGGGAAAAATGACGCAGGTAATCTCGATTAAAAGTCATTGACTTACCGCAACTATCAAGAAAAATCGCTAACAACTGATAATGAGCGGAACCAGAGATAGTTGTTTTGCAATTTCAATTTTTTTGCTGAACCCTAAGCACGAGCCATTAAATATTGATTGGCAATGCACTTCCACAAGTTTTCATTAAATCAAAAAATATTGATGATCACCGCGAAAATATGTTGTGGAAAAATCGTTAACACATTTTCTTCGTAGTGAGGCATTTTTGAGTCAGCTATTTAGTTTTAGACTATAAATTCCCTGAGAACATGTCGATTCAACACAGATCACTGCTTACGTTCATTGGTCAAGGTTTTAACTCGGTTTATCGGTTTATTTGTTTGGAATACAGAGCTTTGAAGAAGGCTGCAGAAAATTATGAATCCTTTGAAAGCTCTCTTTGTGGTAGCCTTGTTGGCTGGCGCAGTTTGTGGCAATCGCCATCAATCGTCGTCGCCGTCCTCTTCATCTTCTATGAAACCATCGCAATGGTTGTCCCACTCCCAATTGCAAAAGATACCCGCCTTAGATGAAGTTTCCATCAAGAAATTGGAAAATATGCCACTGGAAGAGGGTGCCAAATTGTTGAAGACTGTTTGTAAGTATTCTTTTCAAACTGGATTGGAAAGAGAATAAAACTAACTTCGTTATTTTTTTTTTATTTGCAGACCATGTCTCTCAAATCAACAGCCCCTTGCCCAAAAACTATTCACCCAAACCCAGCAGTGTTCCCGTGTACATTGTTAAATCGAATGGCCAAAAGGAATCCACCACCTTGGACAAATTCGCCCAAACTGCCAATCAAGAGTCCAACTTCGGCAAACAAGAAGTTACGATCTTCATTACCGGTCTACCCTCCAGCAGCTCTGAATCGGTTGAAAAGGCCAATCGTGAACTAGTCGAAGCCTACATGGAACGTTACAATGTGCAAAGACAAAAGCCCCGCTCATACGATTACAGCAGCGAAAAGAATTCGGAACGCGACTCCAGCTCGGAATGGGAAACACCCAAACAAGCCTCCGGAAGTTTGGTGGTAAGTTGAGGCAAATAATTCCCCAAAATTGGGAAATTTTATTAAAGAAAAAAAACACCTCTTTCCAGATCATCGATTTGGGAGAAAAGCTACACAACTTGAAAGAACACGCCATGTTGGATGTATCCGAAGTTGGTGCTAAAATTGCCCGTGAAATAACCAAATTGGATTGCCGCAAGGACATCATTCACATTGTTGCCCAAAGCACTGCTGCCCATGTGGCCGGCGAATGTGGCAAGGAATTCAAACGCTTGACTGGCAACAAATTGAACCGTATCACCGCTTTGGACCCCGCAAAATTGGCCTCTCAAGATCCCGAAACATTGAACGGTTTGGCCCGCGGCGATGCCATCTTTGTTGATGCCATTCACACCTCCGCCCATGCTATGGGTACACCCAACCGTGTTGCCAACGCCGACTTCTATCCCAACGGTCCATCCGAAAGTGTTCCCGGTGCCAACAATGTTGTTGAAGCCTGTATGCGTGCCACTCGCTACTTTGCCGAATCTGTACGTCCCGGTAATGAACGTAACTTCCCAGCCGTTGAATCCAACTCTTTCGAGAGCTACAAGAGCAAAAAGGGTTACGGCAAACGTGTCTATATGGGTATCGATTGTGATGAAGACTTGGAGGGTGATTACATTTTGGAAGTTGATTCGAGCAAACCTTTCGGTAAACGTGCCCCAGCCCATAACTTCAAGTCATCCGAATCATGGAAGATATCATCGCCATATTCACGCGTTTAAGTATGAGATAGATACCTGGATAAGTGATCTGATTATTCGATTTTGACCTGATTGTATGATTTTTGTAGTTTTAGTTTAATATTAAAATAACGCCCCGCTAATGATGTTCGACAAAAATAAGCAAACCATGAAAAATAAAAACTTTAATGCATTTTTAGAAAAATATAAACTTATTTGTATTTCTGGGGGAGAGGACAGATTTTTGGAACCTTATCATGGAGTTTTTTACAGCACAAAGCAGTAAAATATTCTAACAGGAGGTTGTCTATATTCTGAGAATCCGAACCGCCATCTTTGTTGATGCCATTCACACCTCCGCCCATGCCATGGGTACACCCAACCGTGTTGCCAACGCTGACTTCTATCCCAACGGTCCATCCGAGGGTGTTCCCAGTGCCAACCGCTACTTTGCCGAATCTGTACGTCCCGGTAATGAGAGCGTTACAACTCTTTCGAGAGCTACAACAGCAAAAAGGGTTACGGCAAACGTGTCTATATGGGTATCGATTGTGATGAAGACTTGGAGGGTGATTGCATTTTGGAAGTTGATTCGAGCAAACCCTTCGGTAAACGTGCCCCATCCCATAACTTCAAGTCATCCGAATCATGGAAGAGATCATCGCCATATTCACGCCTTTAAGTATGAGATATGATGAGATAGATACCTGGATAAGTGATCTGATTATTTGATTTTGACCTGATTATATGATTTTTGTAGTTTTAGAATAATATTGAAAAATATTGTCCCGCTAATGATGTTCAACAAAAATAAGCAAACCATGAAAAGTAAAAAAATTAATGTATTTTTAGAAAAATATTAACTTATTTGAATTTCTGGGGAAAAGGATAGATTTTTGGAACCTTATCATGCAGTTTTTTTACAATACAAAGCAGTGAAAATATTCTGACAGGATTTTGTTTATATTCTGAGAATCCGAACCGCCGAATTTCAGTTATTTAAGTTGTGGAAATGCGGCTAGAACCAGAACATATGTACTATAATTACACCTCTGATCCTTATAACTTAACCCAGCAGAACCTAAGGCCAATAAAGTCACTCCGACTCTATCATTGGCAATCATTGAATGGTTAAGATCAATAACCACGCTTGCACAAGTTAATGGACTTAATGGAAATAAAAGTGGTAACTTAAATCGATTTGTTTTAGATGAAACCGTACCAACTCCGCTCACGAGCTGCTCCATTAACGCCCAACGTGAAGGCTGCCTTAATATGAAATTCAAATCTAGGACCTTTCAAATAATTCAACTTATACTGTTATATAGCAACTAAGTAAAAACTAAGGAGACCTCTGCATTTGAAGTTGTCGGTATTTACGGATGATACCGGATGAATTCACCCATCTGGATATTAAACCAACTTTACCGTCTTCTGTAGATGGATTCTCGTGACATTCTCCTTTAACGTTGGATTGGCTCAGATTTATCTTGTATCAGCCGACGGGAAGCTGTTTTTCTTCTTTGAGAATTTGGCTATTAGTAGACCTAATCCTCTTCCCTGTAGAAGTGAAGAATAAGTCAGACTTAAGCCTATGGTTTTATTTTCGATTACTTTCCTAGCAGCAATAAACTGTGTATTGCCTCCTCCGTATAGTCTGGTTAGTTCTTATGAGATTCCCGGACTTTACGGAAGATTCCGGATGTCTAATCCTCTAAACCGAGATAGTAGAAGGAAGATAAGGTTTATTCTTATGCCATCCTCAATATCTTCATATAAGATGGATGTTGATGTAATCTTCTTTACATTACGAATAGTCCTCAATCGACGAATTCTCTTGGCAGTATCCTTAAACCTTACGTTACTCAGTTTCTTCTTTGCATTAAACAATGGGAAGTTTTTTGTCTTCTTAGTGGGTTTGGCATTGTTCTGTTCTACCAGGGAACTTTTCCGTGGATGTGGATAGTCTGATCTTTGGGATCTGTACGCAATATTCCGGATGCGCTCAGAACTAGAAATACCGCCCTCTAAGAAAACCTCTGCATTTGGAATTGCCGGTCTGTTTTTCTTCTTTGAGAATTTGGCTATTGTTAGACCTAATCGCTTCGCTGTTTCGGTAGAAGTGAAGAATAGGTCAGACTTATGCCTATGGTTTTATTTTCGATTACTTTCCTAGCAGAGTTAATCTGTGTATTGCCTCCTCGCTAACTTCGAATAATATAACGGATAGTCTGATCTTTGGGATCTGTACGCAATATTCCGGATGCGCTCAGAATTAGAAATACCGCCCTCTGCCAATCGATTCTCCGAACCCTGAACATTTTTCTTCTTTGTGTCTCTGACATTCTGCTGCTCTTCAGGTAATCTAATTCTCTTGGCCGCTTTTAAGGACGTGAAGGTTAGGGTTATCTATATGTGCGTCCTTATGTTCTTCTTTTTTGATTTTAGGTCCACCCTAGCCAGTTTCTAACTGCTTCTTTCTGGTTGTAGCTTAACAATATCCCTACTCACTTCTCTCACAATCTTATCTATTCTCGTCTCCGGCATTACAAGACGTTTATTTTGGTCTTACTATCGTTTTGAAACACGGAATTTGAGATTGAAGTCAGATTCATTTTGTACCTAAACCGCGTACTTGCATTCTTGTAACGAACCCTAGGTAGCGTGCTTTTAGTGAACCCAATACCTCAGACGCCAAGAAACTCAGATCTTTATGATATGTATGCTCACAATGTCGGCGGAGTGTGAGCCGCTGATATTAGTTTATTTAGACCCTGCGCCGTTATTTTGTTTCCTCTTCCATCCGTTTGAGTTTTGATCCGCGCGATTTAAAACCTAAAGGTGGATGATAATAATATCACATTACATTCAAATTAATTCCACGTATGACTTGGGTATGCACCCGGTACGAGGCTGACAAATTCCTCGGGGTTTCGTAGCCTAAAGGTTGAATTTGTAAATATGACTTTAAGGCTCAAAAAATATGGATTTTTAAATATGATTTCGAGGTTCAAAACGTGGACATTTCGTTATGTTTTTCAAGACCCTAAAACGAGATTTTTTTAAATTATTTTTTGAAAGCTTTTAAAATTTTTTTTAAGGATCTTAAACCATTTATATAAAGAGTGTACTTTATAAATAAAAAACACTTGTTTCGAATATTTAGCGTCCAATATTTGCACAAACATATCTGGCGATTCTTAATATACAATTAGCCAATGGGCAAACTCGTTCCTGAAGCAGTGTGATCTTTTTCAATTAGTTTCGCAAAAGAAACTTGGTTATTCATTTAGTTCCAAAATTCCTTTTAGAAGACGTTTCTGGAACTAGTTCGTTTCGAAACGATTTCAAAGACTATATCATTGTCTAGTGTAGGCAATGATTGCGTGCAGTTTTTCATAACTTCTGATGTTAAGCTCTCCCAGGACTCCTAAACAAAAAAAATTTAAAAAATAGTTTTGCATTTTTTATATTGCTCGCAATTTATTTAATAATTCAATAATTTATCTTTCGTTTATCTACTCTAAAAAATTACACAATTTTCAATTTGAAACAAAACTTATTTTTCGCAAAAATATATTCACAGATCAATTTCCAGTAATAGATTCTCCACAGCCATATCCTGAATTCCACTTAATTCTTCTCATAGGAGTGAACACCGTGGTAAGATTTTTGTTTACGGGCAGGAGTCCTCTTGCCATATGGACTTTGTTCGTTAACCTCCAACATATAGTCACCGGAAATGTCACGATGTGTGGCAATACCCATGTAGGTACGTTTGCCGTATCCATCATTGTTGCGGTACTGTTTCAAGGAGCTGGCTTCAATGGCGGGGAAATTGTGGCTATTACCGGGACGAACAGTTTCGGCAAAAAGACGTGTAGCACGAGCTTGGGCATCGATGACATTACGGGTACCGGGTACACCTTGGCATGGTCCGTTGGGGAAGAAATCAACGTCACCAACACGTCTGGTGGTGCCCATACCCAAAGCGGAGGTGTGGATGGCATCGACGAATTTGGCACAGCCGCGAGACAAACCGGTCAACACTTTGGGGTCCTTGGCCATGTGGCTGGCGGGGTCCAAAGCAGTGATACGATCCAATTTGTGGGTGGTAATGTCACGGAAAGCTTTACCAGCAGCACCGGCAACATTGGCACCAATACCCTGACCTATAACATGGATATCTTCCAAATCCACATTGCATTCCTTTTCCAATTCAGCCAAAGTTTTGGCAATCATTTTACCGGTTTGGTGGACATTCAAGGTGGCGTAACGTTCCACATCGGTAATCGAATGACCCAAATCGATGACAACCAAATGACCACCAACGGGTTTTTCATTTTCCCATTTCGATTGATCTTCACCTTGAGGGGCTTCGGGTTGTTGGCTGTAACGTTGGATGTAGGCTTGGATCAGCTTGCTGTTGGCCTTTCTGACATCGTCCAAGGATTGGGGTAGACCGGTAATGAAAACGGTCACTTCCTGATCACCAAATTTCGGCTTCTCCTTGGCAATATCAACATAGTTGTTCAAGTTGCAGGTTTCCTTTTCACCCTTGCTGTTGAAAATGTAGACGGGGACATTGCTGGGGCTGGGCACAAAGTTGGGTTCCACTGAATAATTGATTTGGGACAGGTGATCTGGCAAAAAGAAAATGGAAAATAATAAAAATCGAGAATTTTCAAATGTATTTCTTGTAAGACTTACAAAGTTTACGCATCAATTTGGCACCCTTCTCCAATGGCATATTCTCCAACTGCTCAAAGGTCAGATCATTCAAAGAGGGGGCTGCCTCCAATTCAGTGGGTTTCAACCATTGTGATGGCTTTGGACTTGGGTTCTCTTGCGAGTGTGAGGCCAAAGCTCCAGCAGCCACAAAGGCTACAAAGCACAAAACTCCCAATGGATTCATCCTTCTACGGTGGTGGTCAGTAATAAACAATTGCCAAAGTCGTACTTGCACTTCTTAAGCCGAATGTTCAAACTTTTGAAATGTACCTTTGCTCTGTTCGCTGCAGGTTTTTATAATCATTTTTTCCATTTCACAGCAAAAATAGTGCCGAATGTCAGGTGAGTCCATTGAATTGCTGATAGTGAAAATTTTGCTGATTTTCAATTTTCTGTTCGCTTTCCCCATTTACGTAAATTGCAAAATCTATAGAATCGCAGTCGATTTTGTTCGGCAATATGCGATAAGAAATAAATACAATATTGCAAAATTATTATGTGAAGGCAACAAAAAATAAAACGGAAGATGAGACCTTTGAAATAATTGTTTGCAATAGCCTTGTAACATAGATCATTGCCCCAAAATGGAACGAGAGTCAAATTTCAGATAATTGGTTTGAAAAATTAAAATAATAAAAACATTTAATATCGAATGTGACATTTAAAGACGATATTCTAACTATAGAAAATTATTTAAATTGTTAATTAGAAATCAGATTCGAAGTCGGACAACATTTTAATAATCTGGACTCGATTAATGGGAAGCTGGAGCAAGCAATGTTTTTTATTATTAGGGAGGAAATAGGGACGAGTTTTTAAAAGGTGAGCAGAAGGGAGTCTAGATGAACTGAAGATATGCGTTCATAGACGTGAATTAAGTTCGTCTATAAGGAATCAGTGGCAATACTTATAGACGAGCTGATATCAGGAGTCCTTCATACACGAAAAGAAATCGTGGGACATTCATAGTCGAATTAACACCGGGTAGTCTTTATAGATGGCCTGAGTCAAATACGAGCTGAAGCAAATTTTCATTGACGTAATGAAGGAAGTAACTTATAGACGAGGTGAAGGAATTCTTAAAAAGTTTCCAGAGGCTTCAAACGATTCTGTGGACATCAGAAGTCACCCCGAAACGAACTGAAGGAAGTCTTCCATAGACGAGTCTTTCTTAGAAAACGTCAGAGATCTCAGAAGTTGACATAGACTTAAGAAGCTACCAGTAACTTTAAACGTCACAAAAACTTTCAAAAGCCGCAAGAGTTTTGAGAAGTCGGAGGCTTCAAAGCTAACGGAGACTTTAAAAACTACCGGTTGATTTCTAAAAACGCTAAGGACTTCAGATGCTATCAGTAACTTCAAAAGTCTCCAGAGGACTCAAAAAACACCAAGACGGAAGGAAGTTTTCAAGATGTAGCTTTAGTGAACATTAGAAGTTGCCATAGAGTTAAGAAGCTACCAGTATCTTCGGAAGTCAGATAGGGATTCAAGATACACAAAATCTTTCAAAAGTCGCCAGAAAAGTCGTTAATAGTACGAGTCATTAGATTTCGCCAAGGCCCAGAAGTCGTTAAAGACTTTATAAGTCATCAAAGACTTCTGAAGAACCCAGAAACTACAAAAGTTGAGATGGACTTACAAAGCAGCCGGATACTTTTAAAACTTCAAAATTCGCCAGAGACTTTAAAAGTTTCTAATAATTTCAGAAGTCATCAGAGGATTCGAAATACACCAAAGCTTTCAAAAGTCGCAAGAAATCTGAGAAGTCACTAGAGACTTTAATAGTCTGAAGCTTCAGGTTTCGCAAAAGCCTTAGAAATCATCAATGTTTCTGTCTTCTTCGGAAGTAGAAACCAGAAACATTAAAAATTTACAATAGATTTCCAAAGTTGCAGGATACTTTAAAAAACTTTAAGAGACTTCATAATTGGTCAGAGGTTTTAGAAATCGTAATATGCTTTATAAGACGCCAAATTAATATATAGTCGTCAAGGACGTATTGAGTCCCTAAATACTTCAAAAGTCAGCAGAGAATCCAAAAATTGACATTAAAACCATCGTTCGGCATTCAGAACTTCAAAAGACCGTAGAAATTTCAAAAATTCTCAGGGACTTAAAATTGCTACAGACACAAGAGAATTCAATGGAGACCAGAACTTTTTTTCAAGAAGGCTTTAAAAACGTCGTAGACTTCAATAGTTAATGAATCCATAAGGTATTCTTCTATTGATAATAACGTTTTCTTCTTAAGAAAGCATGAAATGTTTCACCTATAAGATACCAGAAAATTTTCTTTTCCGATATTGGAATCAAAATCAAAAATTTATAATTGCAGACAATACGCTTAAATCCTCAACATACCAAAAATTTCAAATCGATGTATATATGAAGGTTATGCCAAATTTGGACCAATATTTATAATTGTTTGTCAACCAATGAAAACCTTAAATATCACAGTCGGATAATGAACGTTGACAAAAATTCTAAAAATATCAAATAACCGAACAGACGATTTTTGGTACAAAGTTTTTTTTTTTACCACCCAGAATCCAAAACGATAACGTTATGTAGAGGCTACCCTAAGAAGTAAACCAATATTGATTATTATTCAAAGGAATATGTATTACCCAATGAGAACCCAAAATATAAAATTACATTCAATTTCTAACACAAATTCCGTTAAATTAAACTCCTTGTACATTAGAACTTTTTACCGGGTTAACCTACTTTATGAGGATTTATTTGACTTATATGCAAAGGAAATGACAATTGAAACCCACTGGGTTAACGAAATCCGGTTAAATGTAAAGGTACTGTAAGTCCCAATTTATATTAGGCGAGTTTAATTGCGGCAAGTCTTTGTTTGAAGGAGAGAGGGGCAAGGGGAATAGAACATGTGAATTTTGTTTGTAGTGTCAGTAATTTAAAATATCAATCCAGAACATTGTAAAAAAAAAAAATATTTTTAAAATCGAATTGCCTTGTATAGACGAATGAAGCAAGTTCAAAAGAGAACGATAAAAATTGCCGCAAGTAAACTCGCCTAATATAAATCAGGACTTAGGGTTATACCGATATACGATATGGCGCCCAACACCTACCCTCTTAAACAATATACAAATGATACCACAATAGAGACCTAATGGTAGAGGTTATAAAAAATTCGACTCGCTCAAACTTAACGGGGTTCACTGTATATCCAAAGGAATTTTTAATATATACCTAATGGTAGAGGTTAAAAAAATTCGACTCGCTCAAACTTAACGGGTTTTAAATTATCTTTTATGTTTCCCATAAAAAATAAACAACATATCATTGTGTATGAACTGCCCTACATTTCTTAAACATGAGTCGCATGGTATAAGTCCTGATTTATATTAGGCGAGTTTACTTGCGGCAATTCTTATCGTTCTCTTTTGAACTTGCTTCATGCGTCTATATAAGGCAATTCGGTTGCAAACATATATTTTCTGAATTTAATTCTTTTTTCTGAAATGACACTACAAACTAAATGCACAAAACGAATTGCCAGAAAATTGTCGGTACGAGCATTTTTTTTCATTTCCTATAATTGAGCCATTACCACTTATATGTGTAGCACATAAGAAAATACTGGGAATTGCGAGTTATTCCATGAAGGAAGATTTGCTTCCTCAAACTTTCCCAGCAGGCAGATTAAGTAAATTGATTACCGGAGGACATTTAATAAAGAACAATTTCGAATTTTCAATTTTCCTGTTGGTTGATTTTAAAAAACATAATTTGTCATAGTCATATTCACACTAGTATTATGTTGGAATCAAATCAGCTGGGTTTTGTTGTTAAATTCCAGTTCCAATTCCAATCATATATCTCCTCAAATTCTTAAAGTGGCTAGTTATTATATGATTTTCTCCTACTCCTTTATGTCTTCCTTCAAATCATGCACACGATAATTAAAAAAAATTGTAGCTTTATTATTGTTGTTTCATAATTTTTCTTTGAATTTTGTGACTGTTATGCGGTTCATCAGGCAAATTTGGTGTTTCCACAATTTTTAAAATGTTTTTCTTGAGAAACACATTCTCACCTAAAATGTGAGGATGTGTTTCTTCAAAATGCATCAAACTCGTTTTCAATATTCCTTATTGCCCTAATGCATTTCCTGGCAATATTTGGTTGAGCATGCATCGTTATCAATAGGATTTCCAATGGCATTTTAATTGTTGTTTTCGAGTTAAAAATGTGCATACAATCATTTATAATATTCTAAATCTACATAGAATAAGTATTGTGTAGATATTTTTTATAAACATATTTATTACTAATGTTTTGTTCTCACAAAATGTCATCTCATTCTCCCCCACTCTCTGTAATCCAGAATAACTAATTTTTCCAAAAGCGGATTTTTTCTCTAACAAACTTCATTCAGAATAAGGCGAAAGCGAGAATGCGAAAAAATTCACTGGGAAATGTTCAGAATAAGTCGTAGGGGAAGAGCGAGTAGATTCACGTGGAATTGTCATCCAGAATAAGGTTGCAAGTATTTATAAGGAAAATGGAAAGTCGATATTGAAAAGTCGACTTTGCGATTTCCTCAATAATCAAAAGTCGATATTTCAATACAAAAATTCGATTAGTCGAAAGTCGATTTACTTATCCCTATGAGTCTAAACGCAACCATAGAGTCTAGAGTCAGCGACAGTCGTTTGCCGTGTGTTTCTTATAGGCATCGGGAAATCGCGACGTCTGACGTTCGCGTCTAGCGGCATGACGCTAGAATAGATTTTATTCATTTTTGCTCAGCGTCATACTCAAAATTTCTCTCTTGCTCTCAATTGAGTTGCCATATCTTAGGTAAAAATCAACAGTGCTACCAAATTTCAATGAGAATTTATATCAATACATATGGCAGTACTGTTAAAAAACAAAT